TGTCAAATAATGTAAGATAATGTAAGAAATAACCATGTAAAATTACAAAAGATAATCCTTTTTTGAAAAGACAACACAGCAACATAACCCCAAACAGATCTTGTACACGTTTGGATCTAGATCAAGATCAAGTATAATGTATATGTTTGTGTAACTATGGAAGTGGTGATTAGTATCAGATTTTTTGACAAACCTACAACACTGCACAGCCCCTCTTATGTAACCACACTCTACCGGCCTTTCAGTAGCGGAACATGAGCGAGACTCGGGTCCACGCTCCAGTGCAGTTTACTGGAGGGCTTCCTGTATTTGTGAGTTTCGGTGGGGCCCTCCCTGTTCGACATACCACACACACACAGAGAGAAAGAGAGAGAGCGGCCTCCAGGACATTTACACACAGGGACAATAGTCACGTCCGCTCCACAAAATCCAAGGACACAGCAAATCCAAACACAAGCACAGAGGAAGACCGCAACCATTAGAATGATCTGATTGTAAAATGTGATGGTGCCTGTGTTCCTGTGAGAGTCAGTGCACTGCGCTTGGTTTTTGGGGTCAATTCTGGCAGATTATTGAGCATTAGGTTAATTAAGTGAAAGAATGAATGATATTATATTTCTTGGAATTCTGTCACTGTTTTATAGGGTTTGGCATTAGAAGTACTTTTTACTTCAGCCTAAACTCTTTCGGTCACGATCCATGGGGTTAAATACAAACGCGAAAAAAACAACAAAAAGCCACAACAAACCAAAAAAAAAAAAAAAGCCATAACACAAATGCAAGCCTCAGAACACAACAAAAAGCCACAATGGAAGTGATCGCGGGACTCTATATTCCAACAGACCAAGCGTCGGTGAGACAGTGACATCGATCCTGGCCATAAAACAATAAATTACTTTTACTTACGTTTCCAATTTCGTTCATTTTTCCGTTTGCTTACTTTTCACATTCTTGTTCTTCTTCAACTTTTCCCATTCACTTCCAGCTTGATCCTTTAATGCTTCGCTCGGTCCAACGGAAAATAGAGTCCAGCGGTCACTTGAGATGTGGCATTTTATTGTGTCGTGGTGTTTGTATTTGCGTTGTGGTGTTTGCGTTATGGCGTTTGCATTGTGGCGTTTGCGTTTGCGTTGTGGGCGTTTGCGTTATGGCGTTTGCATTGTGGCATTTGCGTTTGCATTGTGGCATTTGCGTTTGCGTTGTGGCGTTTGCGTTTACATTGTGACGTTTGTATTTGTGTTGTGGCGTTTGCATCTGTGTTGCAGCGTTTGCATTAAATAGAGTCCCACGGTCACTTCCGTTGTGGCTTTTTTTTTTTTGGTTTGTTGTGGGTTTTTGTTGTGTTGTTGCGTTTGTATTTGTTGTGGCGTTTGTGTTTCTTATGAGTCCTCCCGACGTCCGCAGTTTGTAGTCTATGCTTTGTTTTGTTTTTTGTAGTGCTCCAAAATGACAAAATAAACTACTACTACTAAAATGTTTAAAGCAAACCTATTATGCAAACTTTTTAGTCGTGTTATAATTGTTTCCTTCTTATTTTCCCTCTGGAAGTTGTACTTGGAGTGATTTGTGCATGTTTGAGTAATCTTTAATCACTTATTTTCGAGACGCCATTGTGTCGAGCAGCTCCCATTTCCCCACCGCTGGCGTACGCCCACAGCGTTGTACTTACTTTGTTCTCCAATTTTATTTTCTTAATTGCTGATATACGTAGGATTCATCAGCATTGTATAGTCATTGGTGTGAAAACAGTGTGATGCAGCAATCCATCAGAGTTGTCTTTGTTGTGATGACATTTACAGTGATATCAGCTTCTGTTGGGCACTACAGTTTTCTAACGTGGAAGTCAGCTGATTTGTTTCCTTTATTAGATGAATATTGTGATATAAAATGTGCAAATGATAACATAATGATCCACAGATGTCATAGATTATAAGTCAAGCGTAATATGCATTCTTTAGGACTGTCCAATGCTGATGCTGAATGGTGCGTGATGTTTGTACTTATACAGCTGTTAATTGTCAGTGCTCATCTCCATGGAGATGTTATTGCTTTGCCTGGAATGTTCCAATGTATGCTATTAGACTTGTACATCTTCCTAATTATGGATTTTATTGCTCATAATTACATTGAAAAAAAAAGCATTACTGTATTTTTTTGGACTATAAGTGACTCCGGAGTATACGTCACACCAGCAAGAAAATGTGGAATGAAGAAGAAAAAAACAGTTTAGTTTAGTTTAGTTTATTTGACTTATTTAGTGTCATGCACCATTTAGTTGGTGCCCAGCCTGCATGGGCTTACAAGACACATAAAACAATAAGCAGACAGATCACACATCAAACATAATGTGTCCTCTTGAGGAGGTCCCAGGCCAGTTTTAACACAAACTGAGCCAGCTTGAAAACATTACATTTACACAAATACTCCAGTCTCTCCTCATCAGACACAGCAAACCAACAGTAACATACATAAGTCACACTGGACCATAAGTCGCACTTTTTGGGGGAAATTTATTTTATAGAATCAGAGAGCAGGACTCGACATTTCATCTTGAAAGTCAAGTTCTAGTAATAAAAATAGAAGAGAAAACAACAGACTGTTAACGTCACATATGAACAGTTCTTCAAATAACTATAACATAAACAGAACAGAACAATTTACCAAACTCTCCATCTCACTCCAAATCACCAAATCTATTCAATTCTTCATCCTCTGAGCAACTCCACAACCTCTGGAGGTAAACAGAGCGCCGCTTCCTCTTCTGTGTAGCTGTCGTCAGACTCAGCATCAGTTCCAGTTAGAATTATTCCGGCTTTTCTGAATCCTGACACGATGGTTTCGGTATCACTGAAGTCACTTTTGAAAATTCTCATTAGTACAGATGTAATGGTGCGATTGATCCCAGGACAGAGGCTCTTTCTGCAGGAGACATGCACAGTAGAGCCAAGTGACAGTGACAGTGTGACAGTGTCAGTCTGAAAATTTTAATATATAAGTCGCACTGGAGTATAAGTTGCAGGAAACACCCAAACCATGAAAAAAGTGCGAAAAATACTGCGAGTGGTGTCTCCTCTTCACAGATATAACTTGTAACATGGTCTGTTTTTGTCACATAGGCCTAATTGACTGTAGGGAAATAGATATGTTTAATGTCATAATGTGGATCTTTGCAGTGAGAGTACTGACATGAAGCAGGTGACAGAAAAGTGTCATATTGCACATTTAATATTCATCGTCATAAAAGAGCTGAGATCATGTTCAGCAGGAGACAGCTCACAGCAGTCCTTGTTGTATTCAGGTCGTTCAGTGAACTTGACTCCAGCTAGTGTTTGGGCCTCGGGTTTGAACTGACTCACATGACCTCAGCTCTGTGACGTCATCAACACTGAGTCACATGACCTGAAGCTCACGCCAGTGTCTGCAGATTGTACTGAAGAAAGACATCAAAATAAAATACTGAGAGAGCTTATATTACACTATTTTCTGATCTGTGTTAGAATGTTGTTTCCTCATCACAAACTCTGAAGTATTTAGGTTCCTCAGGCTGGTTTTCAGGCTGTGAAAGTAGAGATTTAAATTTGTCTAACTTGTTCCTATCGCTCTCACAAACACTTAGCAAATTGCATGTATCAATTTTAAGGCATTTTTACAATTTAGAACAGCATTTTAAACAATGAAATGAATAAGGGCTGTTTTATATTGACAGACTCGGTTCTTTCTTCTGTATTTGTGTTCAGTAGAATGTTTTACAATTAGATGCAGTCCTGGTTTAGTCTTAGTTCAGTCCTTGCAGAAGTCCTGGTTTAGTCCTGTTTTAGTCCAAATTCAGTACTGTTTTAGTCCTCTGTTAGTCCTGGTTCAGTCCTGGTTTAATCCTGGTTTAATCCTGGTTCAGTCCTGTTTTAGTCCTCCTGGATCAGTCCTGGTTTAGTCCTGGTTTAGTTCTGGTTTAGTCCTGTTTCAGTCCTGGCTGTAAGGGTCAAAATTGAATGAAATAGAAAACTAGTTTAGTCCTGTTTTAATCTTATTTCAGTCCTGGTTTAGTCTTGTTTTAGTCCTAGTTCAGTCCTGGTTTAGTCCTGGTTTAGTCCTCCTGATCCATTCCTTGGAGAAGCCCTGGTTTAGTCCTGTTTTAGTCCTAGTTAAGTCCTGGTTTAATCCTGGTTAGTCCTCAGGGTTCAGTCCTTGGAGAAGTCCTGCTTTAATCCTGGTTTAGTCCTGGTTTAGTCCTGTTTTAGTCCTAGTTCAATCCTGGTTTAGTTCTGGTTCAGTTCTGGTATCAGTCCTGAGATCAGTTTTGATTTAGTCCTGGTTCAGTCCTGGTTCTGTCTGTAAGGGTCAAAACTGGATGAAACGGGAAATTGGTTTAGTCCTGTTTTAGTCCTAGTTCAGTCCTGGTTTAATCTTGTTTTAGTTCTGTTTTAATCCTAGATGTGGACATTGCAGTGGTCTGATTTAGTCACAGTGAGCTGTTTTTATTTATCTGTGTGTGTGTGTTATAGGGAAAATATTATTAACCTGCTTTACTTTGGAGCCTAAAAATAACACAAACTTGTATAAAACTGTGTTTCTATTGTATTACTTATCTTTCTATTGTATTTTGACTTGTACAGATACATTTATAATTATCTCTTATTTGACACTTGTCTCTTGCAATCTTTTTTTTACTACTTATTTAGAATTTATTATGACCGTTTATATTTTTTACTCTTTATTATTATTATATGTGTGACCTACTGTGCCCAAATATTGTCCAAATAATTTCCCTTGTGGATCAGTAAAGTCTAAGTCTACTTACATAAATATTTTTTGCATTTTCATTTTGTTTTGACTGACATTTTACATTTTTGTCAAGCTTTCTTCCGTTAAAATTTTCCTCTTTTAATGCCCATAAACAGTTAATATAGTCGTGCATAGTTGTGAGATGCACTGCCCTCTGCTGGTGATAGTGAGAAGTGTAAGTGCAGTTTTGAAACATTTGTGTGTTTTTTCATTTTCAGGTTGAAACAAAAGAGGAAGAGGAAGGAGGAACGAAGGATCTGTCAGAGGAGGAGGTGCGGCAGAGGATAGAGGAGTACAACTCACAAGTGCCTGAGAATGGCATGAAACTGGTGAGAGCAAAACACACACAAACACACTCTGTCTTTAAAGGTGCCCTGCAGAACATTTTTAGTGGATGTTCCGCCACCTGATGTCTCCGAACTGGAAATGTTATTGATTTGTCAGATCTGTGGAGAGTCGCCCCCTCCTCACAGAAGAAATTATTGTATTTTTGAGCACAGAAACACCTGTAATGAATAAATGCTATATGGATATTTGTAATCTTGGAGTTGAGAGAGAGAGGGAGAACCCTGAGTCAGGGATCAGTCCTGTTTTAGTCCTAGTTCAGTCCTGTTTTAGTCCTAGTTTAGTCCTGGTTTAGTCCTGTTTTACTCCTGTTTAGTCCTTGTTCAGTCCTGGTTTAGTCCTAGTTTAGTCCTGATTTAGTCCTAGTTTAGTCCTGGTTCAGTCCTGGTTCAGTCTGTAAGGGTCAAAATTGGATTAAACGGGAAACGTCCATTATTGTTTTTTTCATTATTCATTTAAATACAAAATTGAAAACTGAAAAAAAAAAATTTTTAAATCATTATCTGTTTTTTCATTTTGGTTTTAGAGACAAATAATGAAGAATAAAATAAAAATTAGTTTTAACTGCTTGGGTTCTTTTTAAAGACAATACAGTAAAGTATATATACCAGTGTACCAGTTTATTTAGCCGAAACATGTCAACAAGGTAAATACACTTTAGTGTCCTGTCTTTAAAAAGAACCCAAGAAGATAAAGTACATAAGAACACAAAATGTTTTTTGTTTTTTTTTCTTCTTATTTTTGGTTTTATTTAGAAAAAATAAAATGCAACTAGAATGCAAAAAAATGCGACTTGTATGTGATCTCCAGGGTGAACTTTAAATGCCTGGCATGCACAGCGAGCTAGCTCAGTGTTTAGGGAAGTCGCTTAAACGTTGGGCTTGTCTCCAAAAATATGGTCCAGTTCTTGGTAAAATGGCCAGGTTACATGTCCATGGCCGCTTCGTTTGTCTGAGTCTTTCGCTTCTTTGTATTTGGCTCACAGGCTCTTTATTTATTGTTGACATTGGAGCCAGGACGCCTGTAGCCATGCGACATTTCTTTGGCAATCATTTCAAAAACTGTCCGGTTCTGAAAAGGCCCCTCCAATTTGGCCTGAATACAGCGATCCCCCCAAATATTAATAAACTCGTAACCTTGCTTTCCCTTCATTGACTAGACTCCAAGCCTGGCATGTAGGTGGGATGAATGCGACCTGGCCGTTCAGACTGAAGTTGCATGTCAAAAGATCGGATATGTATCAGTTTGAGGAGCACATATCCAAGCGGCCTGGGACGTATTTGAAAAAAATCGAATCTGTGTCGTTCAGACTGTCATTAAAAGATTAGATACAGGTCGCATAGGGGCGAAAAAATCTGATTTGGGTCACTTCAGGCTGCAGTCTGAATGGAGCCTAAAAGACCAAGTACTTTATATCCATGAGAAATACACCATCAGGGAACATTAAGTCACTACACAGTTCTTATTTTCCTCTAAGTGTATGAGCAGTTTTGACTGAACATTCCTTAGGCCTCTGAACTTGTGAACTAGTGCATTGTTTTGTATCCTGCTTTTGTAAGATAATAAAAATGGCCATGTGGGAGCATGGGTGGTGTAGACTTGTGGGCTGAACATTGTACAGGTAAAGGAAGTTTGAATAGGGCCCAGGAGAGATTTCTAGATGATTCAAACATGCACGGATGGCATATGAAACCTCTTCAGGCATGTATTACTCAAACTGTGAGAGATACAGGACTACATTCATATAATACTCCCTACAACTGTACAACAACTCAGCCTTATATAATAAAATACTCCCTACAACTGTACAATAACTCAGCCTTATATAATATAATACTCCCTACAACTGTACAACAACTCAACCTTATATAATAAAATACTCCCTGCAACTGTACAACAACTCAGCCTTATGTAACAGATAATACTCCCTACAACTGTACAACAAATGCACCTTTATGTAACAGATAATACTCCCTACAACTGTACAACAAATGCACCTTTATGTAACAGATAATACTCCCTACAACTGTATGACAACTCCCCTTACATAACAGATAATACTTATACAACTATACAACTGTGCAACAATGTGTCCTTGGGTAACAGATAATACTCCCTACAACTGCATCTTTGTGTAACAGATAATACTCAAGTCAAGTCAAATTCCCTGTCTTTCATTGTTTACATTTGATTTTCTCTTTTGTCCAGTCTTCAAACGGCTCCTATCACGGCTTCATCAAAGTGCGCCTGAGGTTGAGTCGACCCGTCACCGTCCAGGCTGTGGATGGGCAGAACGCTCGGCTGCGCGCCGAGGGAGACACGGAGCAGTGTTTGGGGTCAGAGAAGCGTACTTCCTTCTACCTGCCGTGTGACTGTGTGAAGCAGCTCCACATCAGCTCCCTCAACACCACACGAGAGGTCATCCAGGGGCTGCTCAAGATGTTGACCGTCCTGGACAACCCCTGCAAGTTCGCCCTCTACAGGCAGACCCACAGAGACGGACAGGGTGAGGCTCAAAAATAGGTTCTATTCACGCTTGCCAGAAGACGTTTAGAAACATGGCACGATATTTTTGAGCTGATATGTGGGGCAGATTTTGATTATTTTCCTCAAATGATGTAATTTAAATTTACTTTACACTCACCCATATTTGTTGTTTCCAGACCTGTTCCAGAAGCTGCCTCTGTGGGAGCGCCCCCTGCTGTTGAGGCTGCTCGCCGGTCCAGACACAGAGGCGCTCAGCTTTGTCCTGAAAGAGAATGAGACTGGAGAGGTGGAGGTGAGGGCTCCATGCTGATCTATGTTATAATGTTGTTTCTTTATCAAAAACATACCCAGATTTTTAAGCTTTGTTTCAGAGCATTTTGAGGTGTGTTTTTTGAGGAGGTAACAATATTATAACATGACTTAAAACTCACAAGAGTCAATTTTGCATAATATATGACCTTTCATTATGGCTATGTTTAAAGGAGTATTACAGAGTTTTTTTTATAATAAACCTGCATGCGCATGCCTGTGACTGTCTGAAAAACTACTTTAAGAGTGATAAATAAATGCTAATATTGAATGACTGAAGGAACCATATCTACTGTTTATAACTACATTTTATAAATGACTACGGCTGGAAATATTTTCTCTACAAATCAATTACTACTAAGTTAAAGGCATTGCCAAGTCTATAGTGTACAGCAGTGTTTTCCCAAACTTTTTTCTGGGGACTTCAAAACTGTAATATGTTATTTATGACTTGTTACTGTCATTTTAAAGTAATTCATTACATTACAATATTACTGTATTTAAAATGTAAAAAATTACACGACTATTTATGTTACTCTTAAGACTTTATGTTACTCTCACCAAAAGAACTGTGCCAAGATGCCAAACATTTGCACCGTATATGGACTGAACCAGGACTAAACTAGGAATGAACCAGGTCTAAACCAGGACTAACCCAGAACTAAACCAGGACTAAACCAGAGCTGAACCAGAGCTGAACCAGGACTGAACTAGGAGTAAACCAGGACTAAACCAGGACTAAACCAGGACTAATCTTGAACTAAGACTTGGAATGTAGGATTGCAATTAGCCCTGTGCGGTGCAGAGTTCTGTGTCAGTCCTTTCACCTGCGGTCACCCAACGGTCTACGTGGGCGCACCTCCGGGCTCGTCCTGACATTCGGAACTATGGTGTTTCACCGTTGCCGATATTGCAGTGATTTTAGCAAATTTGTATGAAGAAAAACGAAAAACCCACCACTTCAATCCAGTTCAAAAAAGCATTGTCACGCGCGTTACTGATGTTTGTACTGAGTAAAATATTACAGTTTTTTCCCCCTGTAATGCCTTACGTTACTGCGTTACAGCAAAAAGCAATGTATTACAGTAATTCATTACTTTTATAACACATTACTCCCAACACTTTTGAGTAACATATTTGCCCTTGTGTTATTGAAATAAATATAAGTCTAATGCCATACTGTGGAACATTCCTGGCAAAGCAGATGCATCTTCATGGAGCCAGGAACCAGAAAAGTGACACAGTGCAGCTTTAATTCCTTCATATTGACTAACATATTTGTCTTTGTGTTTTTTGTTTTTTTTATCTCCTCCGCAGTGGCACGCCTTCTCCGTCCCCGAGCTAACAAACTTTCTGGGAATCCTGGAAAAGGAGGAGTCGGAGCGCGTTAGGGTCGTGGAGCAGAAATACGCTGTTTACCGCAAGAAACTACAGGAGGCGCTACAGCGGCACGAACCCCACTGACCTCTGCCCCCGCTCACCCTTTGACCTTACAACCTCTGCAACCCAGGGAACAGACCGACCAATCGCATCGCTCCTCTCCTCGCCCCCCGGGTTCTATTCCGAGCAAGTTTCCATTCTCCGGACGAACTGTTTTCTCAGGCCCTAAAGCAAACAAGCACTGCAAAAAAGGACAGCTTACATTTGTCAAATCACTTGAATTCAGAATTTTAGTTTTGCTTTTTGGATTTAATATGACCTGAATTTAAATTTGTGACTCTCTTTTTTTAAACCCAATTTGGTAGAATAAGAAAATCGCACTTTCTGGTGTCCACTGCTACCTGCTTGTTATTAATATTATTGAGTTGTATTGAATGTTCCACAGTACAGCATTATCTTTCATGCATTTTTATGCTTCAGTTACAGCTTCTCCCGGACTTTAGCACCTGCTTGTCTTCGTATAGATATAGTATTTAATGCCGTACTGCGGAACATACCAGGTTAAGGTTGTCAAAAATATCGAAAACCAGATACAACTCATTTGAGCAAGTATCGATACTAAAAAAGTCACATTCACAGGACAGAAATGAACCTTTCCTGAATAGTTTTAGAATGATCTTGAGCTGAATCAGGACCATGGACCACGTAAAATGTTGAAAATTATGCTCTATTGTATCTGTATCGGAATCGGTATTGAGTATCGAGTCCTTTTAGTATCGTTACAAGACTATTCCAGGTAGAGAAATAACATCTCCAGGGAAACAAGCAGAAAGCAGAAGACACAGAAACAATATCATAACGAAATAAAGACACAAAATTGCTCCAAAACTAAATTCTGCATTCAAGTCTGATGATAACAAATGTGAAAAGAGATTATGTTTTGCAGTGTCCCTCCGTGAAAAGACTGGAAACAGAGGAGGAACTTGGATCTTTGTGTAAATGGACACGCACAATAAGGACATGTAAAATGGAGCTGGTTCTGGAGATGGTTTATTCTGCTGTTTTTTGCTGCTGCTGCTGCTACTGCAAAGTGTTACTTACTGTATGCATAGTACTATAGAGAGACGCATGGTTCAGTTTGTGCAACGTTTTGGGACTGAAGGACAATCATTTTTTTCGTTTTCACATGAGTCTTGATGAAGTTTTATACAAATTAGTGATTCAAAAGCTGAGCTGATTTAAGGTTTAAATATAATTTATTAGAGGGCTATTTCATAAAATAAGATAATCTGGTAAAGTTAGGTTGCATTTGTACATTATTTCAAGGTGCATTGTGTAACTTTTGCTCCATGCATGTGTTATTACTTTGTCTGGAATGTTTCACAGTACGGTAATAAACCTTTTTATCATCATGAAGACCAAATCAGACCAAGTTACGGGTCAGATCTTAGAGCAGGGGTCTCCAATCTGTAGCTCAGGAGTTACCAGTAGCTTTCCAACCCCTTCCAAGTAGCTCGCCAAAGGAAATTATTATACATATTGCGCTGAATAACTCATATTTGATTAATTAAATGCCTATTTCATTTGCAAATGTATAATTTTGATGCCTAAATTTGTGCACTGATTACTGATTTATGTTTTATAGACATCTAACTGTACTTCATTTTCAGATTACCATGGCTCTTGTATTTACAAAATTTCTGGCAACCTCTAAAATTTGTAGTTCTCCCGCATTTTCATTTTACAAAAAGTAGCTCACACGAGGAAAAAGTTTGGAGACCCCTGTTTTAGAGTGATAAAACCGCCTGTAACTGAAAAAAAGTAAAGTAGAGCTGTTTAATGTTATAATGTGGAACATTCCAGGCAGAGCAAAGACATATTCATAGAAAAAGCAGGTGACGGACCCTCCTCCACCAGAAAATTTACACAATGCGCATTTAAACCAACCTCAATTCAGAATATCTTGGTTTGAGTAGTTTTTAATGTATTCACCAAAAGACATTCATATTCCACAAGATATTTTAAGAGCTGACAGCTACTTATACTCTACAGTAGTAGCTCTCTGCCATTTTGTAAACAGTCACTAGAAACTGAGTCCATATAACAGCAGAGACGAGCCCTAGAAGCAGGGCCGTAGACACGAGTGGGACAAACAGGTCTGTTGTTCCGGGGCCCCAGGGTTCTAGGGGGCCTCTTCCTTATTAATTTATGTCGACGGGCCTGCCTAGAAGATTAGAAGACTAGAACTATTATCCATTTCCCAGTGTACAAAATGCACCTGAAGAATACATTCACAATAGTACTAGGCTTGTGATGAATCATATTTGATTTTTTGTGTTGTAAGTTTAAGTGTGAAATCCACTGGGGAGCTCACAGAGACCCCTGACCTACAAGAGTCTTAAGCCTTTTGTAATCATTTGGCCTAAAATATGAAAAAAATAACTATCTGAAAACATTCCAAACTATAAAACTACTCAAAACAAGATATAAAAACTAGGGTGCTAATTTAAAGGTGAATTGTGTAACTTTCTGGTGGAGGGTCCATCAAATGCTTTGTCAGAGACATTTCACAGTATGACGTTAAACCTTTTTATCATCATGGAGACAAAACTGAGTATTTCTGAGCTGTAAAATCACCTGTAATCGAATAAATATAAAGTAGAGCTGTAAATGACATAATTTAGAACATTCCAGGCAGCGCAATGACATCTCCATGGAAACAAGAAGGTGACGGACCCCCAACCAAAAAGTTACATAGTGCACATTAGACATTTACATGTTTTTTTTTTTTTTTTTTAAGAGTTAAATTGACCAAAAGTACTTTGTATTTGCTCCACTTTATTTGAGTCACCAAGGCGCCCCCTGCAGGTGTTTTATGGAATAGCCTTCAGTCCATAATGTAACATATTAAACACAGAGAAGAAAAATCATGTTTTTATTTTTCTCAGGGAACAACATGAAAGAGGAAAGAGCTGTCTCTTCCACTGTTCTCGATCACAAATTCGCGTTTTTCTTTGCTTTTCAAAATAAGAGAAATGTTTAAAATATTCCAGTTCCGCGGCATGCGATAGTAAGTGCAATTTTTATATCAAATGAAATTATGGTTTTGGTTACGTCGCATGCATTTCGAAATAAAATCAATCAAATTTCTACACTTTACACACACTGTAATCACGAGAAGGCAGGTTTTGAATGTGAAGGGTTTTTGCACCAAAGTTTAGAGGGATCACCAGCCACTTTATTAGGCACAGGTTATGGTTAATGTTGAAACTTCTGGGATCAGAAAAAATTAGTTTAGGCTTGATTTAGTCCTGGACTGGGTGAGATCTTGTTTAGTCCTGGTTTAGTTCCTGTTTAGTCCTTGATGATTCTTGGTTAAATTGTGGTTCAATCATAGGTTGGTTTAATCCTGACTTAGTCCTGGTTTAGTCCTGGTTTAGTCCTTGTTTAGTACTTGTTTAGTTCCTGCTTAGTCCTTGTTCGTTTTTAGTTCAATTATGGTTAATTCCTAGTTTAGTTTAGTCCTGAGTTCCTGTTTAGTCCTTGTTAATTCCTGGTTAAATTATGGTTCAGTCTTAGTCCTGGTTTAGTCCTGGTTTAGTCCAGGTTTAGGCCAGGTCTAATCCTGGTTTAATCCAGGTTTAGTCCCTATTAAGCACTTCTTACTTCTTTGTTAAGTTATGGTTCAATCTTAGTTTAGTTTAATTCTGGTTTAGTCCTAGTGTAGTCTTGGTTTAATCCTAGTGTAGTCCTGGTTTAGTCCTGGTTTAGTCCTAGTTTAGTCCTGGTTTAGTCCTAGTTTAGTCCTGGTTTAGTTCGAATGGTTAATCAGTGCCTAATAAAGTGACCAGTGTATTATGGATGTTATGGGAAGTCTAGAGATCTTCTATAAAGATATTTTGTTCTGGTTTATATTTGCACATTTTCCAGATTTCCCAAATATTTCCTAAAAACAATCTCAAAAATGTTCAATATTCAGTGATGTACCAATGATTTTGTTGCCTATGTAAAATGCACATTGAAAAGAAGTCAAGTCTGTCCCTTCTGCTTTGCCTGATGCGCTGATGAGGAATCCTGCTTTAATTACCATAATGTGCATATGTTATGTTTATAATTAGCCCCAGTGCGTCACACAGTTTATGGCTTATGCAGGAGTTGAATCATAAAATCTGAAATTCTAATTTTAAAAGTCCAGATGTTGTGGTGAAGGTTTGTGTGCCCCTACAAAATTGCATGACAGTTTTTCTCACTGACTTTGGCTTAGATTGTTTAAAAAAAAATACAGAATAAGGAGAGATCATCATAGCAACTCTGCTCATTTCTTTTTGTAGCAAGTGTTTGTTGACAAGACTTCATACGCTAGACATTTGGATCAGATTTTAATATTTGAATGCCAAAAATACCTCATATCTGGGCCTAGGGCAGGTCATGAACTTTGATTGAATCTCTAGAAAAAATATTGTAAATTTTGGGAAACTCTTCTGAATTAACATAGTATCCGGCCATTATCTGAAGACATTTTTAATTGAAATTTTTAAATGGACAGTTTAGAATTTTGAACATAGGACCTCATTTCCTAGTGAGGCTGAGTGTTGGAAACGTGTGGAGACACTTTTTGAAAATGTCCAAAATTTCTAACTGTCCCTTTAAATAGAATATTTTGTCTGGCTGAATACAGATAGATAAAAAGTGTTTAATGGCCCTTTACACTTTAATCTTGTCATTGCACTTATTTTAAAGGTGCACTATGTCACTTTTCTGCTACCTGTTCGTCTCCATGGAGATGTTACTGCTTACCACTTTACCTGGAATGTTCCACAGTATAATATTAAACATATCTATCTAGCATTAACTTCATTACATATATATTTTCATGCTCAAAAACATGCATCCTGACTATGAGCGGGTCGCCTCTCCACAGATCTGACCTGTAACTTAAAGGGCCGATATTAAGCTATTTTCTGATCTATGTTATGATGTTGTTTCCTCATCGCAAACAGACCTGGAGTTGAGTTTTTTCTTTGATTCACACATGTTTTTGAGTTTTCCCCTCAAACTGAAAATGCTGTTCCACCTTGTGATGTCACGCAGTAACACAGGAAGTTACTCAAACACGTGTGAACGAAACAAAACACAACTCCAGGTCTGTTTTCGAGGAGGTAATGGCATTTTAACGTGACTTAAAGCTCACAAGAGTCAATTTTGTGTAATATAGAACCTTTGACAACAACATCTCCATGGAAACAATCAAACGTCAAACCTCCAAAAGAAAATTCCACAGTGCATCTTTAACATTTGAGTCAAAGTCGATGAGAAACCTTGAAGATTTTGTGGTGAATCTTTCCAATGAAAATGTGTGTAGTCCATAAGCACATGCGTCCAATGTCCCACAGCTGTTCCTGCTACAGTGCCTTGGTTTCTGAGCCCCGTGTCTTCTTCTGCTGTTCTGGGGGTTTTCTTTTCGGTTTATTTATTTCTCCCTGATTGGTCCTGTGTCTCGTCACTGTGAGGATGTGGACAAACGCACGTATTTATTTATTCGTGTCCTCCGTCTGTGTGGGACAAAAGGACATGGAGATCTGTGCTTTTATTTTGAAAGAGTTGTGTAAAATATATGACGTGTACAGAGTATTGAGCTGAAATAAAATGTCATCCCTTTAAATGTGTGTTAAGAAATTCATTTGTTCATTATCGAAAGTAAAGTACTGAAAATTGGATATTAATCTATACTAAAATTACTATTGAAACTAGATACTCAGCTGGTATCCATACTAAAAAAGTCACATTCACAGGACAGAAGCAACCTTTCCTGAATCGCATTATTCAATTCAAATCAATTTTATTTATACACCACATTTAAAATAACTTCAGCTGACCAAAGTGCTTCACATACAAGTCAACAAAAAAAGAAACAGTTCCATATACATATTTACAGATAACGTGTAACTACAGTAAAAACACCAAGATAACCTGACTAGCTCGGACTAAACACCAAGGAGAAGAGGAGAGTTTTCAGTCTCGTCTTAAACTGTTACAGACTGAGAGGATGTGACAGGAAGAGGAAGGTTGTTCCACAGTCTGGGCGCTGCCAAAGAAAAGACTCTGTCACCTCTCGTCTTGAGCCTAGTTTTGGGCACGACCAACAGGAGCTGGTCAGCTGATCTCAGGGCTCTTGGTGGAGTATAAAGCTGCAGTAACTCCCTCAAATAGACTGGACCCATAGAGTGCAAACATTTGAAAACAATTAATAACATTTTAAACTGCACCCGATATAAGATAGGGAGCCAGTGCAGGTCACACAGAACAGGTGTGATGTGTTCACGTTTCTTAGTATTTGTCAGCAGACGAGCTGCAGCATTCTGGACGTGTTGTAAGCACTGCAGGGAGCCCTGATCTAACCCTACATATAAAGAATTACAATAGTCCAGGCGTGATGCTTTAGAAGGGTGCTTATGAACAGCAGAGGCGGTGCTACCATGAGGCAAAAGTACATGACTGCCTAACCCCCCAACCAATTGCCCTCAGTGCCACTAATGGCTAAGGACTCAGAGCAATTTAATTTTCTCTCAATATGACATTAAATGAGAGTACCATATTTTTCGGACTATAAGTCGCTCCGGAGTAAAAGTCACACCAGCCAAAAAATGTGTAATGAAGAAGAAAAAAACATATATAAGTCACAGCGGACTATAAGTCACACTTTTTGGGTTAAATTTACTTTATAAAATCAGAGACCAGGAACTGACATTTCATCTTGAAAGCAAGTTCTAGTAATAACAATAGAACAGAGAACAACAGATTGTAAAGTCACGTATGAACAGTTCTTCAGATAAACTATAACATAAACAACAGAACAGAACAAGTTTACCAAACTCTCCATCTCACTCCAAATCACTAAATCCATTCAATTCTTCATCCCCGTGTCACTTCTGAGCAACTTCGTGACATCTGGAGGTAAACCATAGATCCATGAGGTAAATGGAGCTCCGCTTCCCCTTCTGTGTAGCTGTCATCAGACTCAGCATCAGTTCCAGATAGAATTATTCCAGCTTATCTGAATCCCGACAGGATGGTTTTGATGTCACTGAAGTCCAGACTTTGTCGATTCATCCAGTGACTTCCAGGAAAGTTGTATGGTGCATCCTCCTGATTCCCATGAAGTTGTGTTCTCCATCCCCGCCTTTTGCCAGTCCCTCACAAGTTTCTCACTCCAAACTTTGTTTTTGTTGTTCAATTTCAATTTTTGGCTGAATATTTCAGTACTTGCAACAGGACAGAGGTTTTTTCTGCAGGAGACATGTGCAGTATAGCGAAGTGACAGTGATACAGGAGTAATAGGAGTAACAGATACTGACACACAAGACTAGAGCCTCTCGCAGCTGTCAGTGTGAAAATTTTAATATATACTGTAAGTCACAGGAAACACCCAAACCATGAAAAAAAGTGCGACTTATAGTCCGAAAAATACAGTAGTTTTACACAATAATGATAAGAAAAAAAAAATGCAAAAGATGTAAACAAACATGTAACTGTACAAGCAAAAAATTTAACTACTTTCAATTTTGGTTATCTAGTAGGTTACCAAAGTAATAAGTTTCCAATCCATCATAATTCAAATTAACAGAGATATGCATGACTCAAGAACAATGTGGAAAAACAGACAATAAATATATAAAAAAAACACAACAACAAAAAACAAAGAAACGGTGCATTATAGTGAGGGCCCCAAACTCAAGTTCGCCTAGGGCCCCTAAATTGCTATCTCCGCCACTGGTGAAAAAGGGGTGCAGTTCATTGAGAAAAAGAAAAATATCAAACACTCACAAAGTTAGAAACTATTTTAAAAGGCAGGGCCCATATTACGCCATTTTATGATCTGTTATAATGTTGTTTCCTCATCACAAAAAGACCTAGAGTTTATTTTGTTTCATTCATATATATTTAACACACAAACCCTGCAAATTTAGCCTGAGTTCTTCTCTCAGACAGAAAATACTGATGTCATGTGGTAGGCCTAATACAGGAAGTGCTCCACTGTGTTTTTAAACCCCACACACCTTCACTAGAATCATTTAGATAATTTCAACCCTGGAGTAAACGGTAAAATGAAGGAGTTAACTTGTAAACTATATACCTCTACATGACATCACAAGTTGGAACAGGACATTTTGAGCTTTGGAGACGTAGACTAACTAAATAACTATAATACAATTAGTCAAACATGTGTGAATGAAACAAAACACAACTCCAGGTCTGTTTTGGAGGGAGTAACAACATTCCAACATGACTTAAAGCTCACAAGAGGCAATTTTGCGTAATATAGTACCTCTTGCAATAAAGGCTTTCAATTTAAAACTCACTTAATTTCCAAATAAGTGAGTTTTAGAATGATCTTGAGCTGTATCAGAACAAGTAGAAGAGCACATAGACTAGTATACACCCATTAAACCACTGTGGAACCTACTGGACCACACAGATATAAAACCACAATAGAAAAAGAAAGTACTGTTGTGATTTAATCTTGAAAATCACATTCTATTGTCTAAAGAGAGAGTGTGTTTATTATCATCGTGGTATCAGAATCAGTATTGTGACAACACTGTTCATATTGTGCTGCTGTACTGCAAATACTTTCTCATGACTAATTACCACATGTACTGCAGGTAATTATTGTTATTGAAAATTCCGTCTTCCTCTTTAGTAACTGTCTAATGACTTAAGTTACAGCTTGAAAATTATAAGCTATTAATGCAGCTTCTGTTCCTGCAGTCTGCTACTACAATAGGCCCAGTTCATTTTTTATCCCCTTAAAGCTGCACTATCTAAATTTTCTCGAGGAGGGTCTGTCACCTTAGCCAGGCTGGTGTCTCCTCAGTTTCATTTCTCTCCAGGGACTAGGTCAGAAAACGGAATACACTAGATCAGGGGTGCTCACACTTTTTCAGCATGCGAGCTACTTAAAAAATGACCAAGTCATAAAGATCTACCTAATACAAAGCCAAGCAAACTGCACTGAAACACTCTGCCCCTTTTTTGGACCCTCACCCACAGTTTGAGAACCCCTTCTTTAAGAGAACTTCCTCTGGCACTTTACACAAAACTGTGAAAAAAGTGAAGGAAGATTTTTAAACCTGTTTTTTAAAGTTCCAAATTGGAGTTGCATTCTTTTCTGGTTTTGCAGTGATATTTACCAGCCTCTGCACGTTTACCAAACCAAACGCACATCGTGACAAACACAGATGCATTTGTGCACTTTTGTTAGGCAAACTTCAGCCAAATGTGGCAGTAGGTCTGTTCTGTAGATCTGCTCTATGCTGTAGACCTGCTTTGTGCCAACACTGTAACACAAATTTAGACTCGTTTTTGCTTCACGTTTTGTCTTGCTCTTCTAATCAGCCGCACTGTGGAAGGGGCTTGTGTTCGCTGTACGCAGGAAGGAGCGAGAGCGTGAAAAGGCGAGGGGCGGCGTGCTGACGTGAGGCAGATGGACAGGTAGGATGTTTAGAAAGTTTAACCTGCCCTGTGATGCACGCTGGTACACGAGGGCACACGCTGTTGCAGACGAGCCGTGCATAGGGAGCGTGTGTGTTTGTGATGTGCCATAGAATACAAATAGAGCACCCCGGTACAAATTTATTGCCAACAGCAGCGGCCGTAATGAAATATGATCGCACTTGTTGAGTGTCAGACCTTGAGTGAGAGAACAAGACCGAGTCCAAACACGAGTCCGAGACGAGACACGATGATCTACCCACACGACCCTGGCGATCGACTGGTAGATCGCGATCAACGTATTGAGCACCCCTGCACTAGATGGTTTGCAAGCACCCTAAAAGTGAGAGTTCGGGCACCAGCCAATCAGAGAAGAGCCAGACATTCTGTGTTGGCAACGATTCCCGAGATGGAGGATTTAAAGCCGGAACAAAGAGAATGTTTGGTGAATTTTATCGAGGGGAAAGACGTTATTATCCTTCTTCCTACGAGATTTGGGAAAAGCTTAATATACCAGTTAGCCCCGTTAGCAGTGCATTAGACCAAATAGCAGCGACTGGTTAAATGAAAAAAGTACCCGCCTACCGTCGAGCAAACAAATTCTAATGCTGTGAGGTCAGACGGTTTCCACGAAGTGAAATTGGAGGATGAATCAGCCTAAATATTTTTTAAATATTTTGTAAATTATTGCTTTACCTGGAATATTTTCTTTATTTTTTCATTTCTTTAATTATTGATGTTCATGTTGCTAAAAAAGAAAAAAAAAAAGTTGGATTATCTACTTGTCTCCATGGAGATTGCAAAATTTTATGCTATTCTGTGTAACTTTTCAGGCAAACAACAGTATAGAGAGAGAGAATGGAAAGTTTCAAACCCAGGCTGAGTTCTTCTCTCAAACAAAAAACACTGCAACAACACCTTGTGATGTCATGTAGTGATACAGGAAGTGCTCCAATGTGTTTTTAAACTCCATACACCTTCACTAGGAACATCTGGATCATTTCAGCTCTGGAACTGCCAATTTGTACTGAACAAAAGGTAAAAGGAGCTATTAACCCCAGGTAGGTAACAACATTATAACATGACTTAAAGCTCACAAGAGTCAGTTTTGCATAATATAGAATCTTTAATTCATACTATGTCGCACAGGTGGGACCAAGTCGTTGTTTT